GTCATCTGTCATGAATTGCATCCCGCGTGATTAATTAATTCACGTCGAACTTCCAAACGGCGTCGATAACCTCGGTTCTTAAAAAGTGCGTACGCTTGATGTCAATCGATACGCCTGGTCCAGTTGATTGACTGGGCAGCTCTGTCTACCAACAATGTCTTGCCTGACTTGTAACGTGGGGAACCCTCCCTTGTCGACACAACCAATTGCGACAATTGGTGACCCCGACGTGCCCGTGAGGCAGACGGCGAAGAACGTGTCCGAACCACCTCAATCCTCTTTATTGGATGATCTGAGATATCTTCGCGACATTGTCGCGGCAAGTGCGTACTGTCTCATTTTATATGAAGCCGGCGTACTTCATCAGAAGGATAGTCTTCAGGCATCGATAGTCAAGCACCTCAGGTATTCGCTCATTTTCCACGCACAAGGTCCATCATTCGCAACCATAGAGAACGACTGACCAAACGGATGTGCAATACACGCGAATCTAAGTGGCGATGGAGATGTCGCGTTGGGCCAGAAGATACTTTTTGAGGATGCTGAAAACACCACTGGCACCATAGATTCGGCAGCAGTCTCGTTTCGAAATATTCTATATCTATGTTTAAAGTCACTATACTGGCAGCATAGGTGCTTGTACTAGGCAGCTAGTACATGTGCTGCTGGTATGGTAAACTACAAAATTGCTTTACCCTACTATCCGCCCTCTGGCAGCATGTTTACATTACGCGGTTGTCCTGCAGTTTCTGATGGAGTTCAGCTCAAATATACACATCAAATTTCGGTCTACGCCTATAGACCTTGGATAAACTGATCTTTACCGAGCACAGAAATTAACGTCTAAAGCAATTTTAAAAATCTGAGATATTTTAGACTGAATACTTCTTCAGGTTGAAAGGCATTAATCTACAGGGGGTGCCTTCTCCTGGTCAGGGATGCAAGTGTAAAACAATTTGGTCTTCCCAGATTTTATAGATGAGCCGATCGAAGTGGCAGTTTCATTCACCCATCATACGAAACACTATAGATCACAAAAGCCTGAGGCTAGCAAGTTGATATAGTCAGCGCACTCTTAGTCAGCAGGCGTCCGGGTACAAACTCAGAACACCATCAAAGCCGTGTACTCCCCTAACTTCCATATTATCCAGATCAATACGCAAAAATGGTCAGCGTTCTTAATCTGTTAGTCAGCTGATAGGCAGAGGTGGAAGTCGGTCTGCGCAGTATTCGCTAACTAAATACATTAGCGCGAGACTAAACCGATGAATTACCTGAAAGATCGATGTTCATTACAGCTATTGGTCAAAGATAAGTTGATGGGACCCCAGCGGGGATATGTGTTTGTAAATATTGCGACATACAGGTAATGAGGGACGGTTTGCGCATGTGGTCGGTTGATGAAGGCAACGTCCCCTGACGAGACTGTCCACCCCGCAAAACGAGTTAGCTTGTATGCCAAAACAACAAAAGCTTCAGTAGTTGAAAAGAAGCACAGAAATATAATTCACTGAACAAAACCCTAAGCAAATAGCCGGCACATAAGACACACAACATTGTCACACAGCTGGAATGTCACTGTCGCTCAAGCCAAGAGCGCACAGGTCCGACGTTTTCTTCAATGGCGGAACAGCCCGCAAAAGTAACGCGGTGATGCTTATTTTCAGCAAAGCTGAATTTTTCGCCAGGCTTCACGAGAGCGACACTCTCCTTTCCGGAGTCCAAACCAGCAAGTGCGCCGGCCTTCGTGATACACAGGGTATTTCTGGAATGGAAAACAGACAGAAAGGGGGTTAGGTATGAGCGAAATTGAAGAGACCCTTTGACAGGGAGGGTTACCATAAAACAATTGAAATGATTGAGAAAGCGTCGTACCGAGCAAGCCGCTTCCACAAAAGCGGTTGAAATCCAATCTTCAAAAAATGGATTTAATTCTTTCGAGCAATTTTTTCAGTGGATTATTGAACATTTACCATAATGTAACTACTTTTGAGAGCACTGATTGGATTTCAGAGTAAAACTAAGTCAATATGCTTCGCCCTCTAGTCAGGCATGTGAAGAAAATATTCTAATTAAGTCAAAAAGTAGAACACAATGGAAGAGTGATGGAGGCCTGAAGGGTGGCCTGGGATTCGTGCTGCCGTTTTCATTAGGCCTTGCTGGCACGCGTGGGTACGGACTCAGGCGCCAGCTATCCGACCGCCTACTGTGTGTTTACTACACGTACTCAATCCCAACTTCGGTCTTCTTGACCCTGTCCTGACACCGGGCTCGGGCGGATGAAGGGAACAGAGAATGTGATGGATGCAACGCAAGTCTATCATCACTTAAAGCTAATCCACGCGTAAGTCACTGTCTCTGCAACGCCACACTGTGGAACACACGATGGGCGTTATCGGAATCGACGGTCGAACCTTCGTAGCTTCAAACAGGAGTATGGCTGGCTGGAGACGCAAATGGTTACAAACGGCCATTTCAGCCCCTCTTTGGTGGTTGGACAGCAGTAACATAAATACGAGTCAATAGACGGGTAAAGCATTCGATTGCAGCATACGTCCTGAAACCAATGGCCAACACGTGAGATGAAAAAGCGGAGGTAATCTCTGTCCGCAACAAAGCGAGCTCGTTTTGCTATTTGGGGGAGGCGATGCCCCGGATCCATACGACAGTACTCAACTGACAAGCTTTATAAAATTCCTTCTAGGATCAGATTAACATCACGTTGACGCCAACAAACATCATGGGCGGTATCCAACACGTGCGTCCTTCGCATCCTAACTTAAACGAGGGGTGAACGGAGTAGATGTTCATGCTTAATGGAGGTGTAGGGGTACTCTTTGACCCATAGGAAAGTTCGGCAGCCATCTGGAATGTCTATACAACCCTATTTGGGGACAACGCCGTTTACCTCCTCACGGAAAGACGAAGTTATTCTCGAGCTGCATCCCTGACCAGGAGAAGTCACCCCTGGGGATTTATGGCCATCAACTTGAAGAAGTAGACAGCTTTAAATATCCCGAGGCGAGGTTGCTGCCGAGTGGGCAGAGCAAGGACGACATTGTCTCTCGTATAGATGCTGCTCA